TTAAGAAACGAGCATGGTATAGCAGTTTATTCCCGCCATAGCCTTTCGTCTGGTTGCTTTCTCCTTCCTTACCTGCAGATGTATCTAGCGCGAGATCGCGCCCAGATGCATCTGCCTTTATACCAGCCTGTTGAACTAAGCACGGGTTGCACACTGCTGTCCGTGCGTGCTTCCACCAGCGCCACCTGCTTTGGCCCATCACTCTACTTCGGGCAGTGGCTCATCACCCCTCTAATCCCATTGGCATGCTCACACTCAATCCTCTCACACATAGAAGGGCCACAGATACCCTGGTCGTGCCCCTCTTTTTCTTGATGCGAGCGTTGTGCCTAGTAGCAGCTAATCCGACAGCAGCCCAACCGAGAAGTGAAGCTTCATAAGGCTTTGCTGTCGGACCGGGTAGTCTTTAATACTCATCCTGCTCGAGTTGTGACCGCTGGCCACGGCAGCGAACACACCAACCTTCTGCTGGCCAGGATCAAAAGCTACACACAACCACCCTTGCCTACGGGTCATGCTAATACTCCTTGTACCAAGGACTGACCCGTGGGCACGGCACTGGGATATCCCCACGGAGCTGGGCAGCCCCGCCCCCGGGGTGATTCAGACTTGCATCATCCTCTTATCTACTTCTTGGAGTTCGAACTCAGGTCTTCCTCTTATCTACTTCTTGGAGTTTGAACTCAGGTCTGTACTTCAACAGTTCTGCGTGTACCACTGAGTTGGCCCGTTGTACCTGTCTACTCTGCCTTGGGACTGGTACCGCCCCAGCCCATATCAATGCAAAATTATACTTTTACGCTTTATTCACCTGTTTCCAGCGGGGCTCGAACTTAGGTACGTATGTCAACCATTCATAGGTGTACGAACTGAGCTTAGCCCATTGGTACCTTAGCCAGCCCCGGAACCAACACCTGGGCCGTCTCCCAACTGGAACCAAAGGGTATATGAAAATAAGTAAAAACAAAACAAAAAAAACAACACAGCAAAACGGGGAGGGGTTCCACGTGACCAGCTGTGCACTCAGCACCGCTGCAGGCCTCCCTACAGTGCCCCGGGTCGTTCCGCCCAGGCACAGTTCACATCTTTCAGGCCCCAACGGGCATGCTCACACTGCGACTCCAAATCTGCAAWGTATGCAGATTTGGGACAGACCAAATTCGAGGCTTTGAGCATGGTTCGGGTCGCACTGCTGTGCCTTTTCAGATGGGACAAGGCCCTACGTGCCTGCAGCAATGGCGGATTGGTACTTTGCTGGTCCCATGATGCCGGGTGTGCGGCCTATGTTCGGTTGTCGTGAAGAGTAGAGGAGTGCGGGGCCCGCAACCCTTGCAGCGTGATCCCAGTTGACGCAGGTCCCGCTGCATATCTTGGTGGTAGTAGCAGCTCTCAGATAGGAACTTTGAAGACCGGTGTGGCAAAAGGTTCCATGTGAACGGCTGCGCACAGTCAGTGTTGCTGCAGCGGCCACTTCCCCCAGTCTCCCGTCCTGCTGTGCCTAGGCACGGTTCACCATCTGCGGGTCCCAACCGGGCATGCTCACACCGCACCCCAAATCTGCGAAATATGCAGATCTGGGATAGGCCAACTTTTGAGGTTCTGGGCATGGTCAGGTCACACTGCTATACCTCTTCAGATGGAACAAGCCTTGGCTGTCTGTAGGAACAGCAAATTGGTGCTTCGCAGGTTGCACAGCACCATCCACAACTGTGCAAACTTCTTGTCAGCGAAGCTTTACAAAAATAAAATAAAAAATACGCATCTGTGGTCGCCCTCGGATGTAACCGTGAATTTTTGTACCCCGCGGCTACACAACTGCGGCTGCCGTCAGGCGGTCATACACCAAATGGTACCTTTGGAACCTCGGAAAAACTGTGTAACCGGTCCTATGCCTTACCGGCCTTGATGGGCAGGGTCACGCTCAACCCCCTTATTGCAGAAATGGGACTGGGCGGGCCCACACACAAAGTTCTCACAGCAAGATGGAACTGGGAAGGCTCACACCCACGCCTCATACATCGGATCGAAGTCGGTGTCCGCTGTGTCCCCTGGTCACGGCCGGTTCCGGTGCCACTGCTGGACCACGTTCAACATATGGGACAACAACAAGAAATAAGGGAAAAAGAAAATGAAAGTAAAAAATTAATAATAATAAATAAAAAAACCTAGAAAATCGGAATAGGGGGAGGAGGCCGTTGGTACTTGGTCCTCAGCCCTCCCTCTTGGGCCCGCGGTAGGACTCCCCAGCAAAACTAAAAGGGAAGGTCCTGCAGGACCCTCAACCCCTCAGTCAACCCCTCAGTCATCTCCACGAAACGCTCCTCCACTCCTGTTATGCTGGTCGCTGGCTTTGACCTTGATCCCGGGATCCTCCTTGTGGAAGTTCAATGGCGTAACCTATAGGGCTAAGCCCAAGCTTGAGTTGGTTGTGCGCTGCCCTGCATATGAATGGTATGGCCAGCCAGCCCGGGCCTGCAACGGTACCTCAGGTCGGTTTTCTAACTTACGGCCTGAGCCCAGGGCCCCGTAATGGCGCACTTGGCTGCCTCGAGGGCAAGGCTTCGCTTGGCCTACCCCACGCGCCCGCTCCAACATGGTATGGCTGCGGGCCGAGCCCCTCATAGCCTGCCATAACGCCTTTTTAGCGCCCTCCCACCGAGGAAACCCCGACCGTCACTCTAGTTTGTGCCCTCCTCACTCGGCTTTGGCGGCGGCTTCTACTATTGACGGCGCATGGCCAACCTAGTGCCCGCGGAACTTTACACAGTGCGGCCCCGAAAAGTTGTTAACAATAGTGCTAGTACCCAAGGCTGAGATGGACTACTGCAAAAATCAGTGTAAGTTGTTTGCCGCACGGTACGCGAACCTATCAAAATACCTCAAGGTCAGTCCTTCGCCTACAAACCAAACTCACGACTGCCGACCTATGGCGCCTGCTGGTCATAGGGCCTGGTTCTGTCCACGACCGTCAGCCTCTCGCATCTACCGCGCGGCGGTCACCGCTTGCGTCCTACTTTTTCTCGCACACTCCAGTCACTGCCCAAAGCAACAGCGGTTCCGATGACACATGCCGTATGAATGCTGGTGCACCACGGTTACTTCAATAAAAGAAACTTTTCCTAGTTTTAATCAAAAGTCAGAATTTTGTCAGCGGGAACGCCGACTTTATAACATCAAAATAAGAATCATCATGCGCGCCTCAAAGCCGCGTGCCCACACACTCTCTACTCCTTGTCGACCATTCAGTCAGTGTGAACAAAACGCACCACGACTCGCGCAACGTACTTCAACTTCAAACAAAACTTATTTTTTGTCCCTTGCAAAAACCAGGGCGGATACCCTTGTGAGGGTATTCGCTTCGACACCAGGTTGACATGCTAGAGGAAGGGGAGGTTGTCGGGGTGATCAGGATAGTCTTCATGAGATCTTGGGCATGGTAGTGGCGTTGCTCCTATGCTCCTGCACGAATTTAGTGGAGGTTGGTTGGGCAGTGCGGGCAGAAAGTGAGGAGCATCTTCTCATGCGGAGTGGGAGGAGGGAAGCTTGTTACAAGCTGGAGCGTCAAAAAGAGCTGCCGGTTTCCGGATGACAAAGCGTTCGTTTGAGCTGGTTCAACGGTTAAAGGCACAGAAGCAGGTAGCGGCGCAATAATGACAGCGGTGATGGAGCAGGAAAATTTCGTTCGAATATGTGTGGTGCTCTTCGCGTCGGCTGCCTTTCAAATCGATCTTGCTGGTCTTAATTTTGTATATTCTAATTTCCTATATTCTTGCTCTAATCTAGTGCTTAGGGCCTCGTTCCACACCACTTGAAATGTAAGGATCCTTACAAAATCATCGTTCCACAGCACCCTAATGACGACGGAAACGAACTCCGAAGTGTTTCCACATTTTGGGGTTGTACGGTCCGCCCTTGAAAAATAAGGGCGGCCGAGGCAAAACGACGGAAATCTCTAGGGAGCCGTCGGAGGTGACTTGAAATGTGAGGGTGGGACCCCACGGATCGCGTCATTCACGGAGGCTGTCGCGGATTTTTTTTGTTTTTTGCCGAAAGGCGGTTGTTCCTGGTGCAGTGCGTTCGTGACCAGCCCTTCGGGTGCGACTTTGGCACCGGCGAGACATGGTACCGCTGTCTCCAGTGTCGTTGTGAGGCCACGGTAGCCGTTGGGAGGGGAGGAAGGTCGTTCTAGAAGCGGCAAGGGCCGGATGGCCGTTGGCGGTCATTCGAATACGAAATGTTCTGCTCGATAGCGTCGTCCCTGCCAACGGCTAGCAATCGGGCAAGGGATGAGAGGGCTGGACACAACACTCCCTTGGCAGTGGCCGATCCATGTAAATGGCCATTGTGTCAGGAGACGCATTGTCGTTTGCAGCACTGCCTCCTGCTGTGCTTGTCTTCATCACGCCTCACGTGTGCGCATGGCAGACCTCCTCAGGAAGACTGCTCTACTGGCAATCCTCCTTGTCGCATTGTTGATCGTCATTGTGGTGCAACTGTGTCAGTTGCTGAGGCACAGTCGGGCCCGTCCGCGGAAGAAGCCAACAAAGAAGGACTGCGGAGGACGCAGGGCGAGGAAGGGGATGGGCGATGATAATCTCCATGRCGGGCACATGTATGGGATGGSGGGGGGTGCTACGAACGACGTTCYRGACGGARTTCGTCACCGATTCGACCCCTCGTCGTACGCCCATCTGGCGAGTTACATGCAGCCCTTGCCARATGATGAGGAGTGGGTGCGCCCCCTTCAACCCTCCCTCTSGCATGGGGGTCGACACAGACCTCCTACGAGTCCGGAGGCAGATCRGGTGATCGTGGCAGTGGGATGGGTCCGATGTCCACCTTGTTGACGGAAGCGCGGGGGGCGGGAGGTGATCCTTTGCAACTGCACTTGTCGTSGGCGKGCACGATGGATGTTTCAAGAACCGTTCTCGTGGAGCACAGCAGTCGGTCACARGGCGGTGTGTCGGTGACAATGCAGGATGCCYGAGAAGACGGRCTRGAGACACARCAGCYGCCGAGGTCATCGTCCGCATGCATGAGCAGCCATAGCCGACCGYCGGCGTTCTCGACTCMTGTCAGCAATGGGGCTCCCCACACTGTCMTGAATGGAAGAGTGACGACGGCGACTGCGGCAGAGTCCCCACGAGTGATAGAGAGGATCATAGCGCGGTACTCCAGAATGCGTACGGACGTCCAACGCGASGATGGAGGTGACGCGAAYGCTGACGGTGAGGATGTGGCGGAGGACTGYATGGATGGCGACGATGAGAGCGAGGAGGATGACGAGCCTGCTGTGAAGGAAGTCACATCAAAGGGAGGGAAGAAGAAGGCAAGCAAGAGTCGTGGGAGGTCGAAGGCGAGGGAGGAAGGGGGGGATGCGGATGGCGATAGTGGGGGAGGGAGCACGCAGAAGCACTGGCATTTGGACGAATCGCTCATCCTCGTGCGGTGCAAGAGGGACATGGTCCCTAGACGATTATATGGCGAGCCAGGGCAACAACTTCGCGCGGATGAAGACGAAGACATGAAAATGGAACGAGATAGCAAAGCGGATGGCCCAGCAGGGGGTTACGAATAGAGATGGGGATTCGTGCATGAAGAGATGGGGATTCGTGCATGAAGAGATGGGAAAACATTTTCGGGTGGTACATAAAAATTTGGGACAGGAATAATAAGAGAGATAATTGAGCATGTTGTATTTTATTTTCTTCATCTGTGCAAGTTTCAAGATAAGGAATACACATAGAATAAGGAATTATAGGTGTATGTTGATATTTATATTTAGCTAGATATTTGTGTGCATGTAATGGATGATTATCTAAAAAATCTTATATATCTTCAAATATAGAAGATTTATTTGACTGATAAAAGTGCATTACAAATTCATATAAAAATATGTTCATAAGTGTTTTTTGTCGATAGATATAATCATCGAGCGGATGAGAAACAATATATGTTTTGTTTGTTTGTAGTCAAAAACAGTATCCTTGTTATTTAGTAACTGTTTTAACATATTGTACAAATGAATTGTCATATATTTGTGACTTTGATAAAGAAAAACTTGTCTTAATAAATGCAATGCATAAAGTTGAATTTCAATTTCTTGTTTATTAGTCATATTGAAGAGTTGAGACGATAATCGGCGACGTGTTTTTGTTTTAGGTGAGAGTGGTGTCTCTTGCTCAATTGTTTTTCCTCGGCATTGTCGTGCATCAAAAATAGTTAAACGAAGATTAATTTTACAATCAATTTTATGTTCATCTTTCGTTTCATAGTTACAACAATAAAATATTCGTTCTGCTGCTTCGGAACCACAAACCAGAAGCTAAATATCATGATTACATTTAAGCCCTGATAAAATTACATCGTCATAAGCATTAATGTATTTATTTCCAGGTGCGCATGCTAATTCAATTGATGAAGTAAAAAAAACATTGTGTGGAGGCGTTGCTAAGAGAGTTTGACTTGTGGGATGTAAATGGAATATGTCATCAGTCATACGAATAGAATTTGACATATCGAAATTAGATAACTTATCATATCTAAGTGATAGGTTTGATTCTAAAATTTGTTGACGAAGTATGTTTTGTGAACAGAAAAGAGCATTGCAATGTTTACATTTGAATTTTGCAGGTTCGTGTTGTGGATTATAATGTTTTTTTGAAAGTGGTGAACAACGAGCTGATGAAGAAATTGAATATGGTATATAACAAGGTGGTGCATGACATTCTGAACAAGAAAGCAATGAAATGTTTTCAGCTTCACGTGTTGTTACAATACTATGAAAATATTGTGTTATTAATTTGCTGAATAGAGTATCAAAATTTTGTAATGTGTCGAATTCAACAATTTTTAATGGTGTATTTTTCAAGCCATACCGTCAAAATGATGTATTTTACAACCTAAAAGGAGCTTCAATATTTTTTTGAGATGAATGTCTATACTCGCATTACCCTCATGTTGAAGAGGTTTTAACTGTAAAGTTGAACTATAAAAATATGCAAAGAACATTTATGTGAAGGTTAAACAATAAAAAATTCAAGGTGAAACATCATTTGAGTCTTTCAAGGAACGCATGATAGAAAAATTTTCCTAAATTTTGTTGTTTACAATAAGTGCACTTGTCGAGTGGGTATATTTCCCTTTGCCTCCTATGTGTGACGAAATGGCCACTACATAAGTTAAATTAAACCAGTAGTACCTTTATCAGCTATCGATGTCGAGCTTACAATAACCCTGCTCGACCGCCTCGATTCTCATTTTGGCTGGCACCGCCACCAACGCCGCTCCGGTATCCCTGCCAGCCTCCCCCATTACCTATTGCATCTCAACAAAATAGTTGGAAAAGGTACTGATGGTTTAACTCCGTTGTAAGCTTTATCCGTGTATAAGAATAATGTTATCATGTTTCTCAACACTAATCAATTAATGGATTTTATGATGACACCTATGTTCCCAAGAGTTGAAAGATTTTTTATAAATGCACGTTGAAATAAAAATAAGAGGATACTTGGACCAAATGTTGACCATCATTTTAAAGAAAACTTTCAAGAAGGAAATATACTTTAAACTATGCATGTTACTTATATCCTTGTTTGGTATTTAACGGTAATAATACCACGGATCATACCTTCATGGAGCAGATTCCCCACTAATATTGTGTTTTATATCTCTACCAAGTTTTCCATAATAGTGTCCCCACCTGAATGGAAAAGTCCCAACCAACATTACACTTTATATATTTACCATGCTTGATGCAACATATAAAATGTTTTTAAAACTCAGGTAAAACCCAATCGACAACTCATTTTCTCCTGAAACTTTACCCTTAGTTATGCATGACATTAGTGTAGGGCATTATATATTTCGACTATTCTATCGCATTCGTCTATCAATATCTAATCCATCGTAGAGAGAAATCGTAATGGTCGTGCGTATTTAAAAATCTGACGAATTTTGTTAGATCCGTGAATAGATTACTAAAAACATTCCTTAACGTATCAAAGGTGTTCCTTTGGTGTCATAAATGTTGATTGAAATAGGGCGGTTAACTCACTTACATTTGTTTCTTCTATGTGACTTTGCAAAATATTTCATTCCTCAATTTTCTCTATACCCTTGCGCTACCACTTTTCTACTCATACCTCTTGTTTCTTAAGCCATCAGTTCCCTTAGCAGTTATAAGTTCAGGGAACAGGTCATGGTTTACGACAAATCGTTTTTGAACTTACAAAACTTGTTTCACCACCTTGAAATTGTTTTCTTTCAAAAATCATTCTCGAAACAATCGATATAAAATTTACGCACTTGATTTTATGAAGCTTCGGACGTAGAATCTTGAGCAGAACAGAATCAATAAACTTGATTGAAGTTGTTGTAGCTGTGTTTCCACTCAAACCCCCACAACAAGTAGGTGGGTCATCCTTGTGCCCTCCCTGCCCCTCCCTGCATCACGGTCGCAACACTGCTCAACCAGTTCCGAAGCTTGTGGGGGAACTGCCAGTTTAGGCTGATTTTTCACTTGGTGGAAAACCCATATTTATGTCCGGCTCTCAAATATTATGCCCACATTGTTGCTCTTCTTTGTTCCTTAAAAGTCGTTTGATTGTCAAAAATTCGTGGAACGCTTCAAAAATTATTATAAGGTTCACATCCACCCAACATGGGTCATTTCACTCAAGTTGATAATTTGCAATCTTCCAGTATTTTGTGACCCCATACTTAGTCATAAATCTCAATGTCTGATATGTTTTCAACGTTTAACTTAGCATTGCATAGTTCGTATTTACATATCCCTGTCTCTAGAATGACATACTGAGAAGGTCACTCCCTTCTTCCCCCTCACACAGCACATATGTGTTGTAAATGAATACAACGCATAGTGTGTGTTCTATTCGAATACAATACACATTTAGGTAAATCACAAAAAAAAAATAAAAAAAATCCAAAAGAACATAACAAAATAATTTTAAAAGATCTAAAAGACAAAAATCTAAAGGAAATCTACAAAAAAAAACTTAAGACGATCTAAAGAAAAAAAAAAGAAAAAAAAGTTTACCTTGAAAACTGGAGCTGTTGCCCGTTTAAAACGGACACCATCTGCTGAATTATAGACTCGATGCCTCAGTCCGTTCTTGCAACGCCATCTGGAGCTTTGTTTATAAATTAGTTTTTTTTAGGGTTTTTTTGTTTTGTTTTAAGTTTTTCTGTTGGCCTCAAGCAATGGTCAGGCATCTCCACGCCATTGTTGAAATACGAGACTTAGTTTGTTGGGGATGGGATAAAAAATTTGATCTGTTTCTTAATTTATGCATGTCATCCTCGCGCAATCCTATGGAATCCACGCGGCCTATCTAGGCCATGTGACGTCCGCGATCGCATTGTCGAGATGACCCGCACCCAAAATGCACCTACTAAAACGGAGCTAGCCCATAGTAGGGCACTTCGGACTCGATAACGATCTCTGTCGGGTGGCAGTTCGGTGTGAAAGCTACTAGACTAGCTCCTATCATGAGGGTTGTACCCACGGTCCTTCTATTTGAAGGGCTCCGGCCCACTAAGCTGTCTATTGCTTGGCCTAGGCAGGCTCAGTCCTGCCTCACCCATTTTCGAATATAACGCATGTGTTCTATTCGTTTTTTTTGCAAAATACAAGAACTTGAATATAACACATATATGTTATGTTCGGGGGAAAGATGTAGCAACGACTTCTAATCAGACAAGGGCTGTGGGAGTTTTTCAATAACGAGTGCATTGAAACAAGGAGAATAGTATAGAAAAACCTTGAAATTACAAAATGCAAGGTTTTGTTTACTATCGTGTTTCAAGCTCGAAAATTAAAAAGCCTAAGCTAATAAATCTACTAAATTCCCCTTCTCTTCCTCGGGAAAAAAAAACAAAACAAAAAACACTTAAAAACTAATAAAAAGGTCTAAACTCTCATTTCTTTCCTTAGAAAAGCGCACCATAACGCGTCGTTGAGATCGAGACGTGCAACCATGACAAACCTTTGTGATGAGCAAGCGCTGCTCGACGACGAGGGAAGGAAAAAAAAAGACGTACAGATTATGGGCCTTATGGAATTATATATAACGGTATTATAACCAATATAACCTATTGAACATGTTATAACCGCTCTATGGAATTATAGAAGGGTCCCGATCCCTGACAAATGATAGGGGGGGGGCTCCATGGTTATTCCCTACGAAACTAGGCAACCAGAGTGGCCCGAGGGCGTTTGCCCGGCCGGGCCAAAAACATGAATATATATATATACAGGGTTGCCGGCGTTCAGGACGGGCCGAACGCCCGAATCCGAACGCCCGAACGTACGGGACCCCTTCGGAAGGCGTTCGGCCGTTTGGGCTGAACGCGGACTAAAAAAAAAAAAAAAAAAAAAACGTTTTTCAAAAAAATTATTGAAAAACACATATGTTAGGGAGAAAAATAAACTAAACAACATTTGTCTGGGCACTACATCCAAATTCTTTACCACATTTGAATTAAAAATCAAACACTATGATAAAAATAAGAAAAAATGAAAAGAGAATTAAAATGAGTGTGTGCCAGCACCTTTTCGACACCGCCATCTTTGCCCATTTTTAATTATTTTTTGGGATTGACAAATGCCCTGAAAAATTACAGATATGTAGTTTACATAATCAATAACTCATTTAAAAATGTTCAAAAAATAATCATTTTTTTTAGGCCCCGAAATAGAGTGAAAACAAAAAGTTAAAAGTGAACAAAAACAAAATAGTGAGTGGGCGAGGACGTTTTGCCACCCCCATCTTTGACGATTTTTAATGTTTTTTTGGCTTCGCATAATGGATTCAAAATTTATAGGCGTGTAGGTTACATCATAGAGAACTCATAAAAACAAA